TACTGAGGCATCCATTTGGGACAGTACTTCAGGTTTGTCACCCAAAAAGAATAGATCTGATGTGGGTATCTTCCAGCCATCCTCTGCAGTAAAGACCAACAAAAAGAATTCATTTATCTTCTCCGCAATGGTCTTATCTGCTTTGAGTGCTCCTTTAATACCTTTGTCATCTAGAGTCTCCCCTGCCTGTCAAGTTTCTTGCTTCTGATGTACTTAAAAATATTTTACTGTTAGTTTTTGCATCTTTAGGTTGCTTCTCAAATTCTTTCCTGGCTTGCCTTATTATATTTTACATTTTACATGACAGAGTTTGTGCATCTTTCTATATTCCACATTAGCATCTACTTCCAAATTTTAAAAAGATGCCTTTGTGCCTCTAATGACCTATTTACTCTACTGTTTAGACATGGTGGCATTCATTTGGTCCTTTGACTGTCTTTTTTTATTTGGGTTATACATTAAAGTCTAAGCCTCTATTCTGCTGTTTTTAAGTAGTCTCCATGCTGCTTGCAGGCCCTTCAGCCTTGGGCCTGCTCTTTTTACTTTCAGTTTAACTAGTGTCCTCAAGTTAAATGTTACTGTGGTGGGATTTTTTAGTATCTTCCCCCTTGCAAGGATGCTACATTTAATTACATTATGGTCATTATTACCGAGTGGTTCAGCTATAAGTTCCTCTTGGACCAGATCCTGTGCTTCATTTAGGACTAAATCACAAATTGCCTCTCCCCTTATGGGTTCCAAAACTGGCTCCAAGAATCAGGCATTTATGGCATCTAGAAATGTTATCTCTGTATCATGCCTTGACATTTACCCAGTCAGTATGAGGATAGTTAAAATCACCCATTATTATTGCATTTCTCTAACATCCCTTAGCATTACAGTCACCATCCTGGTCAGGTGTTCAGTAGCATACTCGTAGTGCTCTACCCCCTTTATTCAAGCATGGAATTTCTATCCATAGAGATTCTACAGTACAGTTTTGTTCATTTAAAACTTTCACTTTATTTGAGTCTATACTTTTTTTAACATACAGTGCCAAACCCCCAACAGCACACCCTACTGTGTCATTCCTATATATCAAGGGTGGCCAAACTGACTCGCAAGCCACAGGTGACTCTTTTACAGTTAAAGTGCAGCTCGCGGAGCCCCCCACAACCCTTCCCATTCTCCACCTACCACACTGGGGGGGGGGGGGAGGAGGGCTCAGGACCTCTGCCTTGCAGGGGGGGGGGGGGGGGGGGGGCTCCCGCCCCGGGGGGGGGGGGGGGGGGGGGGAGTGTCTCAGGGATTCAGCCCCGCAGGGTGCACCTGCTGGGGTTCAGGGCTTCAGCAGGAGCTGGGCTGAAGCCCCGAGCCCCAGCAAGTGCCTCCCATGGGACAGAAGCCCCGAGCCCCAGCAAGTGCCACCCATGGGGCAGAAGCCCCAAGCCCTGGCAAGTGGCCCTCAACTTTTGAACTTCTGAAGATTGTCATATGCGGCTCAGAGCTGTAAGCTTGGCCACCTCTGCTATATACACCTCTATCTCAATATAATGCTGTCCTCGGGAGCCAAAAAATCTTGCCGCGTTATAGGTGAAACCACGTTATATTGAACTTGCTTTGATCCACCGGAGTGCAGAGCCCCCCCCGGAGCACTGCTTTACCGCGTTATATCCAAATTCCTGTTATATCGGGTCGCGTTATATTGAGGTAGCGGTGTATTTTGTACCCTGGTGTTACTATGTCCCATCGAATATCCTCATTCCCAGTTTCCATGATGCCTGTTATATCAATATCCTCATTTAATGCCAGGCTCTCTCGTTCAATGGCTCTCAACTTTTCCAGGCTACTGTACCCCTTTCAGGAGTCTGATTTGTCTTGAGTACCCCCAAGTTTCACCTCACTTAAAAACTACTTGCTTTCAAAATCAGACATAAAAATACACAAGTGTCACTACACACAATTACTAAAAAATTGCTTACTTTCTCATTTGTCCCATATAATTATAAAATAAATCAATTGGAATATAAATACTGTACATATATTTCAGTGTATACTATATAGAGCAGTATAAACAAGTGATTGTATGACATTTTAGTTTGTACTGACTTCGCTAATGCTTTTTATGTAGCCTGTTGTAAAACTAGGCAAATGTCTAGATGAGTTGATGTGCCTCCTGGAAGACCTTAGTGTTCCCCCAGGAGTACATGCACCCCTGGTTGAGAAGCACTGCTCTAGTTCACCCATCTTAGTATTTAGATTTCTAGTATTTGTATATATTCCATGGACCTGGAGAGGCAAAATTCCGTGGAACAGGGATATTATTTCCCCATATACTGTATATTTTGCATAGTCCTCCTCTGAAAATGATTTCCATCTAGCTTGACAGCACTGCAAACCAAACTACACTGCCCAACAATGACTAGGAAAGATTAGTTTAGTTTAGTCTCCTTGCCTTTTGGCTTCAATCATCAGACTGCAAAAGTCACCAAGGCCTCTTGTGTAGATGCAGTTATACCAGCACAACTGTGCTTTAGCTGCGCTGGGGGGGGGGGGGGGAGGAGGGGGGGGGGGGGGGGAGCTGGAATAAGCCATACCAGCAAAAGCACAGGTTTGCTTGTATAAACTGCATCCACACTAGGAGCACTTTGCCAGTACAGTATACTGGTATAGCTATACCGGCAAAACCTTTCAAGTGTAGATCAGGCCTAAGTATGTTGATCATTTTTGTGAAGTCCATTATGATCTGGACTGAGACAGACTATCTTTAACAGAGACAATCTTTTAGTCACTACCAGCTTCAGGAACATTTGAACCAATAACTATCCATCCCAAAGCACAAAAAGTTTTGTGTATTTGTTTTTAAACTTTGTTTGTTTGCGACTGATCATAGAACAAGTTTCAGTGTGTAGGATTCAAAATGCAATGTTTCCATAGTAGTACAGTAATAAACTCAAACCACTACAGCAGCAGCCAGACATATTTCCAGCATCAGCATTAATCACTTGGCATAGCAGAAATAAAGTAATTGAAACAGAACGCTGACATGATCAACTGTCTCTAGCTTTAGGAATAAACATTGTGGTTTGCCTAAACATTCCAGCAGCAGGAGGCTGCCTGTGAAAATGTGCTATTCCACTGAAATTCTTTAAGAAGAGTATTTGGGAGTGAGTGGTGGAAAGTCAGATTAAAAATCATGTAGCAAACTCCTAAATCGCAAAGGAAATAATGCTTTATTGTCAGTGATCAGCAACAGTAAACACAGGACACCTTCAAGCACAGGGTGCTCCTCCCATTTAGAACAATACCTGGGGTGGTGGTGGTCTGAAAATGTTTAATTATTAATCAAGCATTCCATACTCCAGAGTGGTGAGTGAGGTGACTCCTGCTTAGAAGGGGACCTGCCTGCAGGCATAGTTTACCCACTTATAAATAACTGGACTTGTCCTGAGGGATAAGCCTGGAATGTGGCAGAAAAGGGGAAAGGAGTATTCCATTTCATGGCCAGAATAAAAACACAATCCACTGTCTGATCCCCCTCTCTCTCCTTGAGTCTCATACAGAGTTTATTATAATGCTTAAAAGGACTTAGAAGCTCCACTACGATTACATTACAGGAATTTCAACAATGCAAAACTGCTGCTGGACTAAGCAGCAGATATTTGGATTTCCTAGGGAGGTTGAGAGAAGAAAAGGGGGAAATATTGCTAAATGTGTATAATTTTATCTCTTTGATAAAATCCACTAACCCTTTAGATTCTCTCTCCATAAACGGAAAAAAAAATACACCTCTTTTAAGATGGAAAGGATTTAGTTTTAGGAAGTAACAGCACTTTCAAAAAACAAAGGTATCAACCTCACCCATGATCTTTTTTCAGGTATAAAACAGAGCTTTCCCAACTCTGCCTCTCAGGGAAGGTAACATACATTTGCACATTTATCATAGCCACCATTCAGGTTTCACCCTCTTTATCATGTTTCCAGATGAGCAGCTTGAAGTAGCTGTTATAGGGTGACCAGATGTCCCAATTTTATAGGGACAGTCCCACTTTTGGGGTATTTTTCTTATATAGGCTCCTATTACCCCCCACCCCGTCCCCATTTTTCACACTTGCTGTCTGGTCACCCTAAGCTGTTAGTATGTATTAAAATATCGAGCGCACTTTCAGCAACAGCTTCATCTCTCTCTCTCTTCCTCCCTCCCTCTCACACATACACAAACAAACACGGAAGCCACTTGTGCAACTGTGTTTCCTCTTTCACTGACGCATTTGGATTGCAAGTCTTCGGATCTCTCTAGAAGAGGAAAACACCCAGAGCAAGCAACCAGAGAGAAAGGAACTCAGGCATCACAAAGACTCAGGGCCACCTCCGCAGCAGAAGTTGGGCACACATAGACCAAACACTGGTCCCACTGAAGCCAACTGGAGTTTTGCTGTGGGTTTCTCATGATTTGGCCCCCAGTCTCAAAATAGAACCCTCTCCTCCTCCCCCCAGCCAGATGTGTAACCCTCTCCTCCCTCCGCAGACACATGTGTAATCCTCTCCTCTCCACTTCCCCCAGCCAGATGTGTAACCCTCTCCTCTTCCCCCCAGCCTGCATAGGTGCTGGGGGTGCTGCTGCTGCCGCCCGCCCCCCCGACTTGAAGTTGTTTCCATCATATACAGGCTTTACAGTTTGGTCCAATGGCTCTCAACACACCCCCCCATACAATTTTTTCCAACACCCCTGTACAGATGTGTAATAACCCCCCACCGCCAGCCAGATGTATAACCCTCTCCTCGCCCCCCCGCCTGCAGACAGATGTACAATCCGGGCTCAACCCACAGGCAGTAACACCACCAGCAGAAAACGTCCCCAAACTGCCCGCAGTGCCCCAACTCGCCGCCCTTGCGGAGGGGAGCGAAGAGGGATTTTGCTTTGAAGGAACATTTGCAACTTCGCCCGGCTCCTCCGCCGCCCCCCGCGGCCGGGGACAGCGAGGGGCACCGGGCACGGCTCCCCGCGGGCTGCTCCTTACCGCCGTGGAGCCGGAGGAGGAGGCGATGTAGACGCGGATGACCATCCTGAGCGGAGCTGCTGGGACGCGGGCGCCTCGTGCTGGGTGTGCGCTGGCGGAGCAGCCGGAGCAGTGAGCACAGGCAGCCCGGCCCCCGGGCAGCGCGAGGGGGAGGGGCCGCTCAGCCCCGCCTACCCGGGTAGCGTCAGAAACTGATCCCTGTCCCAATGTGCCGCTCAGGGTGTACTGGGCATGCTCACACCACTGGGCATGCTCAGTAACATCTGCTGAAGCCGCTGCCCTCACTCTGCCCTTCCTTGGAATCAGATTCTGCTGCTTTAGAGGGGTTCAAAGGTGGCAAAGCGGAGGGGGGGTGGGCAGGGTCTGAGCAGGGGGCGGAAATTTACTGGGGGGAATCAAGCAGCTGAAAGCAGAGGCAGCTGAGGGGCAAAATCAGGGATGGGGGGTAGGAGCTGGGGTTAAGCCCAGGGGCACAGGGGGGGTAACAGTTATCCTGTTGCTGAGATGAGCCACCTGCCGTGTTTGCAAAAAAAGGGGGGGGGGGTGCAGAGGGGCTTTTTTATTTCCCCTCTCACAGGACAGTACCTCTCAGCATGGGCTTCCCAGGACTGGGTTCTTAAAGGCATGCCACTGCCTAGGCATGGCAGCTCCTCTCTATCTGTTATAACGTGCTGAGGGGCTACAGGAGACTTGAGCCAGCAAAATATTTTACATATTCCCCCTCAAGAACTATGTGTCACACATTTTGGGTATTTAAAAGAATCCCTTATGAGATTATACGTCTACACAAAGTCTCATAACAGTTCACAAATTTGCCTTATCAGCTGCTGTGAGTCCCTGAGTTGCACTCCCTTCCTTAAATGTAATCCATTTAAACACCGTCTTGCTCCTTTTAAAATGTTACTTTTATTACTCTTTCCACTTCATCATTTGCCTTTGTTATCATTGTGCAGATGCATATTATTGTGCCATTTAATTTCTATTTTAATAACAAACACTCATCAAATATTTATAAGTAAATAGTTGCTAGTAGTTTTAGCAATGACGTGTTTCTAGTAGAGCACTTGCTATGTTTTTTACTGTGATTTTTAATTTGGAATTTTTAATTCTAACTTTTTCTTCTTATTTTTATAGTACACGTTTATTCTGTTGGCTCATGTGACTTCCAGTCTGACTGATTTCCTAGCCTGGTGTCAAAACTTCATTTGCATTTGATCCACCAATGGGGATTGCCTTTTGCAACTGTTATTTTGCCTCTCAATCCAGCCCTTAGTGATTTTTCACATGTCATTGATTGTGCGTAGAACTTGATTCTCAAATATTCAATAAGGGCAGTGTACTATCTCATATTACATCCTTCTCAAGGGCAAAAATCTTCTGTAATTTTTGCTGAACATAAGAATAGCCATAGTGGGTCAGACCAATGGTCCATCTAGCCCAGTATCCCATCTTCCGACACTGGCCAGTGCCAGGTGCTTCAGAGGGAATGAACAGAACAGGCAATCTTCCAGTGATCCATCCCCTGCTGTCCACTCCCAGCATCTGGCAGTCAGAAGTTTAGGAACATCCAGACCAAGGATTGCATCCCTGATCATCTTGGCTAATAGCCATTGATGGACCTATCCTCCATGAACTTATCTAATTCTTTTTTGAACTAAATTATTGTTTTGGCCTTCACAACATAATGAACACACATCTACAATCCCAAGATTGACAACCACAAGAATTCCAAAATCATGAGTTATACACCCTCAAGTCATGAAATTTTTAAAAAATAAATAAATGATATTGGGTTCTTCTTATGTGCTAATTTGTTCCTGAGCCTTTAGAGTGTAGTGGCCTGGTTCCACAAAAACAGGAGCCTAAACACCTGTATGAATCTTGGCCTATTCTCATACTTTTCCTGTTACCACTCTGACACATTTCATATACCTAAGGCCATATCTACACTTCAAACTTATGTTAATTCAAGTTATGTCATCATAGAAATCACCACAGTTAGTATGTCATGTGCACATGTCTACTAGACTCCTTGTGTCGGTGCTGAGCATACTCACCAGGAATGCTTGTATCGATCCAGAGTGTGGTGCACCATGGAGAGGTATCCCACTGTGCAACTTGCCACCGTCCACCATACTGTATTTTTGCTGAGGTTAAAATGGGACGCACAGGAATCAACTTCACATAGTGCAGTGTTCACCCTCCCCTAATTTTATATGTATCCCAAATGTAAAATTATACATAATTTTTGCACTTTTTTCCTAAATCTCACAAACCCGTGTGGTCCTTCTCACTGTCTGCCATCTCTGACAGAAGCATGGAGTCTGCATGGCTCTGCACTATTGTCATGACTAGCATTGCAAGCCCAGGGTACACAATCCTGCTGTATTTGCAGAGCTGCAGAACAGAAGTGGGGACATGACAGAGGTGAAAGTAAGCTGGTACGGCGTACCGGACCAGCTTCCCCAGGCGGCAATTTAAAGAGCCTGGGGCTCTCAGCAGCGGCTGGAGGTGGCCAAGACTCACGGGGCTCCGGCGGCTATTTAAAGGGCCCAGGGCCCCGCTGCGGTAGCGGCGGCTGGGCGCCCCGGGCCCTTTAAATCACCGCCCGAGCCCCGCTGCTGGAGCCCCGGGGTAGTGGCGGCAGCTGGGACCCCCGGGGCTCCTTCGGCAATTTAAAGGGCCCGGGGTTCCACTGCGGTAGCGCCGGCCAGAGCCCTGGTCCCTTTAAATGGCCCCCGAGTCCCCGGGCTCCCAGCCGCCTCTGCTGCGGGTAGCTCTGGCAGTGATTTAAAGGGCCCGGGGCTCCCAGCTGCCACTACTGCAGCCAGAGCCTGGGGCCCTTTAAATCTCGATTTAAAGGGCCCAGGCCTCTAAAGGCCCTACCCCTTCTGGTTGAGGCCACGCCCCTTCCGGTTGAGACCACGTCCCCTGCTCCGGACTCCGGCATACCGGTAAGTCCTTTAAGTTACTTTCACCCCTGGGGCATGATGATTCCATGCAGAACAGATTGCTGTGAGACATAGCAACAACCAATTCAAAACTGTTGGTGGCATTCATGGAGCAGCTGCAGATGGTGGAGTACCAGTTCTGGGCCCGAGAAACAACCTCCAACTGGTGGGATTGCATCGTAATGCAGGTTTTATAGCAAAATGTGTCGGTAGTGGGCTTTTAACACTATACCAGTCAGCTCGCTGGCTCTCACTGGCCAGGCAGTGTGGCACTCAGCGCTCCAGAGCCTGGAAGAGGCAAGGAGATTTTCATAGTGTGTAAATGGTGAAAAGGTGCAGGGAATTCTCGACTAGCAGTGCGAGATATGTGGAGAGATGGGTGGCTGAGGTGTGCCTCTTCCCTGCCCTCTGCACCTTTCAGCACAGGATCGTACAGGAAACAATCCTCCAAGCCCATTAAGGGTTACCTATTAAAATGCCACACCTAAGTAACAAATAAGGAAAAGAAAAGCCATGGCGGAATGTTTTCCTGCAGCTTGTCTCCTGGAAGGGTGATGTCTAGTTGCTAGTAGGATCAGTAATGTACCTAGGAGGATACCTGAAGCCCTCTCCATTCTGTAAACAGAAACTGGTATAAAAATCAGTCCAGGGTTTGCTAACACCTCCTGGATACTTAGACCTGAGAGCACGTTCCAGAAACTGTGGAAAGGAACTGACATGCACTAAGGCAAACATGGCATCAGGCAACAGCATTAATGCCAGACAATCAGCCCTGCCAACTAGCAGTAATAACCGGGCACATTTTGCACGCAGAGACCATGTTTAAAAAAAAATCTAAAGCCTTTGTTGCAGACACAAATTACCCCACTAATTAACAATGCAGCAGCCACAAAATAGGACAAATCCCCAGTGCCCCAGCCCTACTTGTAAACAAAAATCAAAAAAAGAACAAAACCCACAGACATATTTTCTAAATTGAGACCACATCCTTTTTAAAAATATGGCATGAATCTTGAAACCTAACCACTACCATTCCTAGCTTTGGATGCACAGGAGCAGATTTTGTAAAATGCACCATGATGCACGTGTGAGTAACAGAAATGAAAACTGAACCCCAAGTGGATTCATTTTTAAGTATATATGCTGGTTTAAATAGGTCTTTCTCCTTTACAGCCACTCCTACTTCATCATCCTTAAGTAAAGTCAGGACTTGTTACAGTGTAATCGTTTCACAACGCCCAGTAATACAGCACAATCAACATTGAATTATAAATTAATTACAGTGTTCAGCTGAAAGAAGAGCTGTGAGAGGAAGAATCCTAGGACCCGATTCTGCAAGATACTAGTTCTTCTTGGGAAGGGCTGAGTGCCCTCAGCTCCAAATTGAAGCCAATAGGAGTTAGGAGGCTCGCCTCCCCCCCCCATCCTCGCCCCTTTGATGCGCAGCACCTTGCAGGAATGGGCTCTTACTCAGGCACATATATCTTCAACAACAAGAAGGGAGAGAGTGTGTATTTCTTTTGTATACAGTCATTGCGTTACACTGCTTTTGTATACAGTTGTTGCATTGCATTACATCAGTTTTGCAGTCAGTAATTTTCTGTTTCCCCTTTGCTGTTGTTGAAGATAATTGCTAACACGGTGCTATTCAAAGGGGGCTCCCGGCTCCAAACAACTTACAATAAAGCACAGGTGTAAACAGAGGAAAATAAAATACAGAACAGACGCACAGCAGGGCTCATCTCTGTATTAGGAATGTTTCCATGAACAGATGGGTCTCCAGAACTTTTTAAGAAAGGAGACTGGGAAAGGTGAATGAGGTGGCCCTTTCAACCATAAGACATGGCATAAAAGAAGGCACAATTTCAGGAATGGGTGAGGGAGATAAAGGGCCTTCTACTCCTATTTCCATTTCAGTTAATGGCAAAAACTCCCATTGATTTCTATGGAGCAGGATCAGACCCCAAAAAACTCAAAGAGAGCATATGGAGTGGGCTGGGGTGTCCAGTAACAGACCGGAACAGAGATCTAGTGGTGCAGATCCTACAAGCTGGGTACATAAAGTCGGCTTAAATCTGATGCTGACTGAAAGTATCCCAGAGCAGCGATTTGAGGAATGGCAATGGGGAATGAGAAATGAAGGAAGATCGGTAGGGCAGAAAGACTGAAAGCTGCTCTTGGCAG